TAAGTTTTAAATTAGGAAAATGTAATAAACGGCAATCATCATAGCGTGAAGCTGTGCGCACAGTTACCTGTAATAAAATAAAACAACTAATATAGAACTTAACTTATAAATTCAAATATAAATATTACTCACATTAAGCTCGCCTTTAAACATAATTTTTGCATTTGTCCAAACAATACCAGCATTATTCCAGGTTAATTCCATTTCTTCAGTTGTATTGTAGGGATCAAGTGAAGCATGCAGTAATACTGTAAATTGCTTCACAATCATCGTCAAGCGACCATGAAACAGTAAACGCATTTTATCCCAAAACGGTAGGGCTGGACTTGGATCTTTAGACGGTGCAGAAATTTTTTCAAAACTAAGATTACATTGCGCCATCACAGGCTCCCAGCAAGGGCCAAAAGCATAACTACAACACTCCAACTCACAATCAAAGTCATGGTAAAACTTTAATGACGTCATGCTGCGCTGCACAACATCGGTTTCAAAAGGATGACCGACTTCTATTAAAACATCACGTTTAGCTCGTTTGTATGCAACCTGTTCAGCACCACACAAATTGCCATAAAGACGCATTGCTTTTACATAGAACATAGGCTGCGGAAAATCTCTATAGAATCCAAAGAAAGTATATTTAAAATTTTTTTATACTGAGTATTATAATTTTTATTTTAATACGAATACCTTAATTAATAAGTAGTTTATTGATAATTACCTTAACATGAATTTCCATTCAGAGCAACTAACGTTGATACTTCTGCACCACAGTGTTGTGAATTCTAAGCCCTCCTCCGGCCATGGACTTTCAGAGTCTATATCACGCATAATACGCGTTACATTTTCTGTACCATGTATTGAGGGATCAGCCATTGCCATAATCTCCACATCAGTCATTATCCAAGCTAGAAGACGCGTTCGCACTGGTCCTTTCTCATTGATTTTTTTAGACCGTTGTATATAAATCTCTGAGTTCTTTTTAACTAAATTTGCGAGAAGACTCTCAATAGTACCAGCAGGCACCAAAAGTCTTTCTGAGCAACGCTCAGCAATTTTTTTATCGAAAAGTGCTCTACGTTTCAAACTCTCCAAATACTCATCTAACAACAAAACGTAATTATCACGTAACTTCACTTCAAATGGATCATCGCTAATTTCAAGTAAGAATTCTTTAATCTAAAATAGCATTAATTAAAATTAGTTACTTAATATACAGTTAAAACTCTCTCCAAAATTCTACTAACAGATACTACTGTTAAACGAACACCTATTACAAATTTAATAACAATGCAATTTTCTCTTCGCATCATTTCAATGAGCTTAATTTTTTTTTGACAGAGATTCTACGTTAAAGAAGAACCTTTACTTACTATAAGTGTCCGCCTAAGAGAGTTTTAGAGCATTATATATAAGTTGTTTTCTCATACCTGTATTACTAAGTCACTTGGCAATGGTGAACTCGCTGTGAATGGTTTCTTCTTATAATTGTGTACCATTTTAAGCCACTTGAAGTGAGAAACGAATTGGTTGTTGATGGCATCATAAAAGTCGTGGTCATAGGGAAATATTGCCTAATTTAATATAATACAATATTAAATACACGAATTTTTTAAATCCATTTATTTTTACCTTAAACACTCCGATTGTAGTCACCCATACCTTATTGCATGGTAGCAAAAACCCTTCACAATTGACACGTGCAAGTGTCAACATATCCAGCTTTGGCAACGAATGAACATCTACGTCTTTTAGAGTAAATATGTGCTGATCATCAATTTTTATAAAAATATTCTCAGCCGAGATGAAATTGTCATCCTTATGCCTAAAGAATAAATTCTCGAAAAACAATTGCATACTATGACGATCTGATAGTTTAAGCTCAAATATAGAGCTACGCTCAGCCGATACTTCAATGATAATACTCTTCTTTGTTTTGTTCTTACTGGTAGCATCTTCGCTCTTTGGTATACCAAGCTGTGTAGCCAAATTCTGCATATCTCTTGCCAATGTTAAAGCGTGCATGTGAAAATTTGAGTTCCACAAGACTTGTGTATTGCCCGGAATATAAACCATTAGTTTAGAACTCCTACTTTCATGATTCTCAAACTCAATGCGTATTATTTTACAATTAGCAAAAATATCTGTAAAATCATTTAGACATAAAGATGATGATGTCATGGAACGCATAATAGCCATTTGAAATTCCTCCAATTTAAGATGAGTAATTTGTTGGGTACGTGTAAGTGTGAATTCTTTAAAGCTAAGCAACAAACACGCTTGGTGATGATTTATAAAATACGCTGTTATATCTTTCACTTTTACAGATACTAGTAAAGCTGTACCATATGATGTTGACGCTGACTGAATGGGTAACGCTTTAGTTTGATCGGAGCTTAATATTGCACGATATTGTTGAACGCATTGCATACTTTTTATTAGGAATTGCGCTAAATTAACGCTATACTCTGTACGAAGTGTATGTATAGAGAGCTCAAGCTTCGTCACATTTGCATATGAATTTAATTTAATAAGACAGACACCAAGAAAAAAAGGTGAGCCCAAGGAATGGGATTTTTTCAAATTGTTGGTATCATTTATAGAGTAACCCAAAGACCACCATAGCGACTCTATCATTAATTCAGTACTCCAGTGACGTTGGCCGAGTAACATATTTAAAAATTTCTTTTTATAAACTGAACTTCGTTTATCATCATATTGTTCGAGCACCAAACGAACATGACTAACACTCATGCCAGCATTTTCATCATCAAGTTTTGTAAGCATAGATACATTAAATAGTTCAACACACCCTGTAAGATATATAAAATTTTAATAAGAATAATTATACATTTTATTTATTCATTTATTTATCATTTTTACCTTTGACTACAATTCGCTGCATTATAGATTCAAAATAACTCTGTTGGCGATAATCTGCTTTAGTGGTTAAATGTCGACCATCATTTGTGCGTCCAATATTAAAATTATCTTGGCTATGTTGCTCAGGTAGAGATTTTTGTTTTTGACTTAACAGCAAGAACTTAGGATTGTTGTGATCCGTCGAGAGTAAATTATCGTGCACCCAATCATATATTTCAGTGTGGTTATATATTATTTGGAATGTTTTAAGTTTAATAAAGAGATTAAGAATATCATTGTCCAGCTGAAATTACAATAAATTAGTTTATAACAAATGTTATAAGTTGAATGGATAATTTAGAATGTTTCAAGGTTATTGAATAGATTAGAGATATCGTTGTCTAGCTGCAAATTATAATATATATAAAAATTATGATGTATAATATAATATATTTATATAATATATTTATATAATATATAATAATAATATATAATATATATTCGAAAACACTCTAATACCTCTAATAAAAACCCTCTAATATATATCATATAATTATAATATAATATAATTATAATATAATATAATTATAATATATTTCAAATAATACTTAATACCGATAATAAATAATCTTAAAAAAATCATTAATGGAAGAAGATCCAACACTATCACTAGTATTCTAATTGTGATCGTAGTTCATACCATTCCAACGTTCCCTAAAAAACCTACATGGTTGGTTTTCATTGTGAGTATCAAAGTTCTAATGGTTGTGGGGAGAGATATTTCATGGTCCAGAAAGAAAACCCATCCGCTTTTGAAAGCTAAAAAGTTACTTATTCAGTTTGTTTTCATTGCGCACGGCGGAACTTCAATGGAAGTAGTGACCGGCAGTTAGATATCCTCGATGTATTAGTCAGTAGTGAGAGTCATTAATGAGGGTCTAATGAGAGCTAGACCCATTCATTTCATATTTTTGTATAGTTAAAATAAATAGTTTCAAATCAGTATTAAAGGATATGTAACATTATTCAAAATAGATATATGGTAAACCATATTGAATATATATTATACATATATGGTTTATAAAGCCAGTTCATTAATAAAAATATATTTTATTTATATTTTATTTTCGGGGTCAGCTTAATTACTCTTTAATTATTTTTAAAACAAAACTAAATTGAATTAATTATAATAAATAACTTACTAATGAATCGATTGAAAACGTTTCAATAAACAAGAGTTTTTCATATTTTGTGTCAATGTCCAAATGTTGTAGTAGCACCTTAGTAACCAGAGTGGGTAGAAAAGCATCTTCATAGGGAGATTTTGCATTGAATTTGCCACTTATCTGTAACAACATTATTTCGATTTTAATTAAAATTATAGTCAAATTAAAAAGATACTAATACTCACACTAAATAATTGCATTTTAGCACTAAAATCATTTTGTGAATTCTCTTTCATGGTAGAGAATGTTGCTGCTTGCACCATAAAATTAAAATTTTTTGGTATAATTGGTGCGATTTTCAAATAGGAATCATTATTTTGATTGTTAGGAATTTCTTCTGAAAAAATTAATTGCCTTTTTTTGGTTTCATTATTAGTAGAAGTGTTAGTACGCTTTTTAGCCTCACGCAAAAAGTCATAAAGACCGCCATGTATTATTGACTTAGCATTATTAACTACTAGCGATAAATTCTGAAATTGTTTAAATTAAATTAATTAAAATACAATGAAAAAAAAAGTAGTTCTAATATCTAAAATCATATAATACTTACATTTACTGCCAAAGGTTTTTGTGCACATATTGTAACGTCGAGCGCAATATCAAAACTTATTTCACCTAAGCAAGGGCGTATTTTATTTAAGTTTTCCAGGCTCTGACGACGTGTCGGACAATGGCGTAACATTTTTGCCTATGCACATAAAAATCAATAATCAATGAACAAACTTTAAATAAATTTATTAAACCTACCTGTGCTTCATTGAGTGCAGCATTGACTAACAATGTTTTTGAGTTGTGTACAATACTGCCATCTAAATGTAGGTCCTTAGCAGTTGCATGTATAAACCAACCAGGATCAAAGTCATTGTTCATTAAGACTACAGATATATTATTCATATGCACAGCCATAAACTATAACAAAAAATATATTTTATTTATTTACAGAAACTGTTAATTAAAAAAATAATTTTTTTTATCGTTTATATTTACCTGTGCAAAGCCAAGCACTCTCGGTGGTACTGTGGCATATCTAAAATCGGGCACATTATGCTTACGCTTTTTACTTTGTGCCTGTGCATTATAATCGTTTTCATAATCTGAGTTCTCATTACTTCCATTTTGGATGTCCTTGTTGATTCGTATATCTTTAACGTAAATTGCTATAAATTTACTACTATCACTATTAAAAATACTACTCCGTAAATATATTTCCTCAATTTGCTGTAAACAACAAAAGTATTAGAAGATGAATTAGCATATGTTGAATAGATAACATATCAATAGAAATTTAAAAAAAAAAACATACCACTGAGAAGCCACTTTTGCTGACGTTAACATTTCTTAAAGCAAAATTTAGTACACAAACGCGACCTATCTTCACTTTAACTTTGAATTTCTTCACAAGATACCAACTGATACATGTGGGTAAAATCCTAAAAATGGACATATACAAGCAAGTTTATGTATATGGAATATGTGAGAATGTGTCGTCATCATTAATTGAAAAAATTCATTCAAAGCAAATATTATATTTACCAATAAATCAGCACAAAGACAATTACTCCAAAGAAAAGAAATTTAAGCAGCATTTTTTACAACATTTATATATTCATATTTAATTTCATATTTTAATTATCTATTATCAGCACTTTTAATTTTGGGAATGAACCAAAAGATTAATACATTATCATCATTTACTATAATATATAAAACAGCTGTTTGTTTACGTTGCTAAGCAAATCCAGAGTTGCATTTGCTAAAATAGAAAATATTCAAACGTTATTTTTAGTCGTAAATTTAAAATGTGGTTACTTTAGTTACTTTTGCAATATGAATCCACAGAAATTATATAACTAAATAAAATCTAATTTATACGTACACTACACATATATACATAATATAAAGTACATATTTAAACGTTTCTTCTAGTCGTAAATTTAAAATGTGAATACTTTACTTACTTTTGCAATATGAATCCATAGAAATTGTATATATAAATAAAAAATAATTTTTACGTACACTGCACATATATATGACGAGTCTTTAGAATTGTGTGAATTTTAATAACAGTTGTAAACTAAAAATTTTAAAGTACATTGAGGGTATTCACTCTGTCATTGCAAGGCGCATGAAATGTAAGAAGGCTATACTAAAATTTCAACAGTAAGGAAAACTTCTGTTGCAAAATTGCAAAATTGCAACATCAAAATGAAACAGCTGTCTTTGCAGCGTACCACATGCACATGAAAAGCAATAGCTTTTGTTTTCCTTTTTTGTTTCACTGCAAGTGATTTAGCAAGATTTTAAGCAATTGCAAGAAACTTTGTGCGTGTATCTTGTTGTTGTCCATTGCAAGCTTGTGCAATTTGTACATTTAGTGCACCTTGTAATAAATTTGCAAGGCAGAGTGAATACCCTTAATAAATTTCTGTTGCGAAGTAAATTGAACGGAATAGCTTTGTCGATGAACATATATTGGTCTCAAATATTGTGTTCATATTTCTCAAATATCAAACCAGCAATATTAACTGTTTTAAAATTAGTAAGTATTGAAACAAAAGTAAGAAAAAGCCTGTACAAACTTTCCGTTTTAAAGTATTAGGAGTATTCACTCTGTCATTGCAGAGCGCAACAAATCAAAGAAGGCCATACTAAAATTACAACAGTAAAAAACTACAACTCAAATTAGAAACACAAAATCAAACAACTGAAAGTGCACTATCACGGACAACAGTAATATCTATTTATTTAAGCTATTTCACTGCAGAGATATATGCTAAGCAATTACAACAAAATAGCTTCTTTGTTATTATAGAAAGCATAGCTTTTTCGGCAAAACTAATTAAACTTTATAAATATATTAATTAATTTAAATATAGGCGTTTTCGGTGGCTCGTGTGGCAAAAAATGCATGTTGGCATATATTCCCTAAAGCGAAACATTGGCATCACTGTTGCAATCTGTCCAGTGTTTTGTTTTGGCAAATAGCAAATCTTGCATATGTGCACATAATGCAAGCAAATAACATTTTGTATAAAAATAAATAATTAATATAAATTTAAAATTACACAATTAAAATGAATGATAAGAATGTTGGAAATTTCAAAGTAAAACACTGAAATTTTTTCTTTTTTACCCAATTTTCAAATGTATCATTTTTGAATTTATTTAAATTTTTGTTTACATTTGATTTTTGACAAATAATTGCAATATTCGTTGGAATTTACACTAAAGGTTCACAATAGTTCGCTTATTGCGTTGGTACTGGCCAATAAACAACTACTGGCCTAGATTGAAAAAATGGTGTTGTTTTGCATACATTTCAGCCAGTATACTACACTTACGAGCCACCGAAAACACCTATTTTTAAAATAACCAGTTGTTCTTTAGTAATATGCTTGCAAAAGAAAGGTCTAATGTAGTTAACCATTACTTTTATTCATTTTGATATTTAATAAATATTTAAATTAATTTTAAATTTAGTTTGTAGAGTCTAAAAAATACGAGTATATTATTTTAACAGATTTAACAGATATATCAGATAGGGACTCATTTTTTACCGCACTCCGAAGCGGCCGAAAACAGTTAATACTTACCGTTATTTTTTCATTCAAAATACCAAAAAAATACTCGCAACTTATGAAGGAAAACATGTGAAACAATAAAAATACTCTGTAAATCTTCAGAATTTGATTTCACTCGGAAAAATTTTTACGTGTTAAGTTTTAGTGCAGCCAAATTCAAAAATCAGTCTATAGAGAATGCTAACTAAAAATACGTTATAAAATTCCAATAATCCGTTAAAATCATATGAGCATTTCATTTACAAATCAAATCAAATACATAAATAAATAAATAAATAAATTTAAATATATAAATTAAAAATGCTACACATTGCTCTTCTAGACCGAGTAAATTGATAGTAAATTGAGGGAAATAGTAAATTATGTCGGTATGACAGCGAATGTTGGTATTTACCAGAATTTCGAGTAGAGTTAAAATTTATTTAAATTTAGTTAAATTTTTATTAGATAAAAATTAGATAAATTAGGTATTACCATTGTGAAAATTTTATAAGATGTTTAATAAATAAATAAATAAATTTGAAAACTTTTAACCAAAATGGTAAGTGCAATAAATAAATATTTACATAAATGCAGTGTAAAAAATCTCTAGAAAATATTCATTTTGTTTTTTTTTTATTTAAAATAATTAATTTTTAGTATTTACAATTTTTGTATTGTACACAACACAACAAAAATCATATGTCAAAAAAAGTATTTAAAATATTTTAAAAGTGATGCCAATTTGTTTCAACCAGACTTAATGCTGTTTTTTACAAATCTGAAAGAAAAAATTGGGGGTATTATGATGGAGCTTTGAATAAATAGCTCATTTATTTTTGATTACATATTATGTAGTTTACGCAGCTGGCAATGATGTTGAGCTATACGCTGTGTGAAAGAGATAACCATATTATACAATGTTTGGCATTTATCGTTGTATGTAGTTGTGCTTCGACAAACGGAGTATTTTACAACTACCAATTTTTATAATAAAACACATATTTCGATTAAATAAATATATTTTCAATCGAATCAAAATGTGTTAAAAAATCTTAGTTAAATATCTGCATAAGTTTGTTAATTTCCACGAAGTGTGATTATAAAACAAATTTGGGTGAGCAAAGTGAAAATTTTCACCTAAGATATTGACACCGAGTTGCCACTTCAAAAGCAAAAAAAAAAAGTAAGAAAAACATATATTTTGAAGCCCTAAGGTTAGTTTGGTTAAGACGTGATGACAAATTACTGTATTCAGTTTTGTTTTTAAGGATATAAGCACATTTTGTTTGTTATGTGCTATTTATTTAAATTCGCATTAAAATTACTGTATGAAATAAAAATTAGGACAGCCAAAATACACTAAAGTCAATCCATAATTTATATATACATATAATAAAAAAAACATTAAATAATAAAATATATATTATGATCATACAAGAGCCAGTGCAGGTAAGAAGAATACCCATTAAATATATGTTTTTTTATATAATTTACGAATTTTTGCTATTCAATACATAGTCTGCCATATGGCATTGTCTAAATCACTATGACCACAAGGACGCTGTATTTCTTGCGGAACGATTATGCTCTGAAGGTAGTATCTCTTATACTATTTCTCTGAATATGTTTAATATTTATTTTGTTTATAGTTGAAAGTGACGAAACCATATTTATATTAGCTACTAGTTATTATCGTTCAAACTTCATACATCAAGCGTACTGGTTACTTAAGGAAAAATCTAGACGCTCTCCTCAATGTAGATATTTGCAGGCGAAATGTGCTTACCAACTGAAAAAGTATGCGGAAGCCGAATGTGCACTAACAAATTGTGGTTTTGGGGATTCGAGAAATTTTGATGAAATGGCCAAAGATTATGGTGAAGTTGCATGTTTCGTATTTCAACTGATAGCGCAGATTTGTATAAAAACAGAGAGAAATAAAATTGCGATAGAAGCGCTAAAAAGAGCATTGAAGCTGAATCCATTTATGTGGCAAGCTTTTGCGGATTTATGTAGTTTAGGAGATAATGTAGACGCCAATACCGTATTTCAAATATCAAGTACAGACATATTTAGTACTTGTCAGGGCAATTCAAATACAAATTCCATGATTTTGTTCGGCAACTCTAACAATTTCAATGACGCCAATATAGTTTTAAATAATCAAACTAACATCAACATAAATATAACTAATTCAAATAATTACAATATCGGTACAGTATCTGTTGAAGGTTTATCAAATAACGGAATGAACAACACTTCCGCATATATACTCTCCACGCCTAATGAACAACAATCTCAAATACAGAACAATAGTATATTAGCGTTACAAAATCTAACAACACCAAATAACAATCTCAACAGTTCGATAACCATGTTGCGCGGCAACACCAATGGACAGCAGAATCAAAATAATAGTATGGTTATGTTAGAAGATACACCTTCGGGCTATGGAAATGATCACAACATCGGTGTAAATACAGTGGAAAGTGGATTCGGTACGCCGTTTAGAAAACAATTTAAATATCTATCAACATTTTCACCAACAACGCCTAGCTTTGGTGTACTACCCCTTAATAGTCCTTGTACGGGGTTGGAATCACCTTTTATTGGTAATATAGGTGCTGGACACATTCAAACCAATTTAAATATAACCAATTCACCCTCGCCTCAAACATTAGCAGAAGTTAATCAGGAGCAAAAATTGTTGGGTAAAAAACTTAAAGTACACGTTGGTGGCTTAATAAACCGAAAAGATACTTCGAATTCCGGTTCAAATAAGCCTGCCGTATTTACACAGACTGGAAACATAACACCACGTACACCTAATAATGTCGGAAATATGAATACAGGTGAACTATTTATAAATTTAAAATTATTATAACATTTTATCAAGTTTCATACAATCTAGGTGCTGCCATTTCTAATGCTGCTGTACGTAGGAGTTCACGCCTCTTTGGCAGTAGCGCGTATTCAGTGAAAGAGAACAATAAATCACCCAATATAAACAATAATAAATTTTTGCAGCCACGTTCCCCACCACGTAAAACAAAAACACGTATGACGAAAATAACACTCAACAACGAATTGATTGAGGAAAAATCGATAAATATGAATTCGGATAAAATAAATGAAAAAAGCTGTAGGAAAGATAAAGAGAAAGTGGAAACAATAACATCAGCAACAGGACATATTCGCACAGCCGAAGATACCAAAGTTTTACTTAATAACAGTCTTAATAATGCTCAAACTATGACGCACCATGTGCTCGCCTTAAAAAAACAATCTGCCGATGGTTTAATGACGTTAATGCGTGACTTGGGCGACGGTTACAAACATTTAGCACTTTTTCAATGTAAAACAGCAATAAAACATTTGGAGGCTACGATACCAAAACATCATCTGTGTTCCAGTTGGGTGCAGTCACTGATTGGACTATCTCATTATGAGCTGAGGGAATATGAGTTGGCGGTACTAATATTTAAACGAATTCATGAAACAGAACCACATCGATTGGACTATATGGAGATTTATTCATCGTCTCTGTGGCACTTGCAAAAGGAAGTGGATTTATCAGCTTTAGCACAAGATTTACTTAATCAAGACAAATTATCACCAGTAACATGGTGTGTTGCAGGCAATTGCTTCTCTCTGCACAAGGAGCACGAAACAGCAATAAAATTTTTTAAACGTGCAGTGCAAGTTGATTCTGAATTCGTTTACAGTTACACACTTTTGGGGCATGAACTTGTGCTAACTGAAGAACTAGATAAAGCATTAGACTACTTCCGTGCAGCGGTAGTACGTGATCCGCGGCATTACAATGCATGGTTTGGAATTGGTACCATATATTCAAAACAGGAAAAATACGAATTAGCAGAATTACATTACATTAAAGCCTTAAAAATCAATCCGCAGAACTCTGTGATCCTAGTGCACATAGGTGCAATGCAATATTTTATGCAAAAAAAAGAATTAGCACTTCAAACCTTAAATACAGCTGCTGCATTGGATCCTAAGAATCCACTTGCACGTTTTCATCGTGGTTCAATCTACTTTTCTTTGGGTAAACATCAAGAGGCGTTACGTGAACTTGAAGAGCTTAAAGAGATTGTGCCAAAGGAGTCTGTGGTCTTTTACTTAATCGGCAAAATACATAAAACATTAGGTAATGTCGATTCAGCATTAATGCATTTCAGCTGGGCCACAGATCTAGATCCAAAAGGAGCAAACAACATAAAAGATGCCTTCGACTCAATGTCACATCCAAGTTGTTGTCCCAATCTGAACGAAACAAGTCTTGAGGCTGATCTTGAACCTATATCAGAACGCTCCGATGATTCAACGCAGGCGCAACAAGATATTAACTATGATAGTGATGCTTACTAGATTCTAAGAATCATTTTGACTGAGTTGTGGTGTGGAAAGAATATAATATATATATATATATAATTATAATAAAAAACAACTGCAGATAACAATTATAAAGCTTAACATTCTTTGCGTGTAATATTTTTGTTCAGTTAATGATAATAATACATATTAATGATTTTTTTTCTTTCTTTAATTACGACTTGGAACTGTTCAATTTATACAAATAAATATTGAAAACAGAAGTTAAATATAAATCGTTAATATAGAAAAACGAATTAAAATAAATGTATGAAGTAGATAATCGCTTAAATTGGAAAAAAAATTCTATTTACTTAATATTTTTTTTTAAAAAAACAACGGTTAATTGAGTTCTTAATATAGAGATTATTAATTACTACATAAAAATCTTAACAGCACTTACTAAAGGAATTAAGCCAATTCAATTAAGTTACTAAACTAAATTAAATGAAATCACGTCGATTACAAAATAAACCCCTTCACTCCAATCAAGCAAACAGTCGATACGCAAGTCAAATTTTATGCATGTATAGAAAATAATTCAAAAATCAAAATGCTAGTTAACAGCATGAAAATTCGACAAAAGAAATAGAAATAGAAGTGGCGAACACAGAAGGAATTTCACAAAACACAAACTAAAGTGCTATTGTAGTGATGTAATATTAAAAGGGTCTAACAAGCTTAATGTGAACAGCGGGACCGATTAGGCTCCGCTGGTCGCAATCAGATGTCGCCAGAATATTCCGAAAAAATTATTGTGTTTATATTAACACAAGTTAATAGTCAAGTTTAGCCTGAAAAACGGGCTAAAGATTAATATTACCATAAACTAAAAAAACAAGGAACAAAGGTTAGGCGATCAAATGTGTCCGGATTATTAAAAATAAAGTGATTGTGTTTATACTAAAACGATGAAAAATAGGCTAAATATTAATATCATCATAAACAAAAACGAAGAACATAACTTCTAACATGTTTAAAAATTTCTGAAGAAATCTTCTATATAAACATTTTCAAATCTATTCTATCCTATTCTTTTTTCACAAAATATGATAGATATCTCAGTTAACTACAGAGCTAATCATTATGGCTCTTCTACTTTGTAACCACTAGAAAGTAAATGAGCTTAAAAAACTTGCTAGATAATAAAAGTGAAATTTTATACAATTAATAGAAACCTAAAATGAAAATTCTAATACATTAAGAATGAAATTCACATATGTATGTAATCTTATTTTATTCAATGTCTTTATTATTGCGTTCGTCTTTGACTTGGAAACCAAGCATCTAACAGAGCACGTTTATTATCTCGTACGTGAGTATTTTCTAGCTTTTCTATATTGTTTACAGTTTGGAATGGACGCGTTCTTGCAGTACTACTTGAGGTGTCGTTTGTATCGGTGAGATTGGAATATGCCTCTTCAACTTCTTGTAAGATACTGTTATCCAAATTAACTATTTTATTTAGCACATCATTTAAATGTTCCACATTTAAATCAAAAACCATAGCCAATACTTTCGTATGGTGTTCATTTAAGTGGTACACAATTTTCTCTGCGTTCAAAATTTCGCGTATATTATTGCTATCGAAAACGCCATGTAGTGACTCTGGTAGAGAAAGTGTAGACGATGATGTATTTATTTCATAAGCTTGGGAAAAATCTGGAGTAGGAGGATAATAATTTTCTTGAGGTACAATCACTAAATCATTTGATGAACAATTTTTGTCATAAATTTTGTGATTTTGTGGTACAATAGTAGTTTCCGTTGGGTGTAACTGATGTTCAAAATGTGCTGGATAGATTTCTGGTAACTGAGAATTTCTTATAGCATTCAAAGTAAATAGGGGTGGCTTATACAAATTCATGTTATAATATTGTTTAGGTAAATTTTTCATTATCTGAGTTTCAGCTTTTTCTGCTGACGATTCTATTTCTGTTAGATTAATATAATTGGTCGGTGGATTTGTCAATGTAGCACGCTTTTTATATAAACGTTTTGTAGTAATTGTTAACTTTTTATCTGTATTTTTCCTTTGTTTCGAAATTTGTTTTTTTTTCGAATTCGACTTTTGTGTTCTACAACGTTTTTCAGTGGTGTACCCATTTCTTTGCAATTGCGAGCTAAATAATATAAAATACTTAACAATTTTCACATAAATTATTAATTGTATTAACATACCCTGTATTTTCTTTATCAATTGAATTCAATGGCTTTATATTTTGTAGCTGTTTTTCTTCATTTTGTTGATTTATTGTAGCACTATTTTCATCTATATTACTTTTTTTATTTTCATTTTCAATATTTTTAAAGTTAGTTATATTAGTTACGTTCTTAGTCAAATCGATTGGATTAACTTCTATGTTGTGTTGAGGGTTTACTTCATCACCATTATCCTCATTATTTTTGTTTTCCATAAAATTTTCATTATTTGATATTGGCATATTTTTCTGACCTAATAGCATTTGGCTGGAAAAGGTTTCATTGAAGTCTTGTAGTAAGTCCTCAGATAGTTTTCTTTTTAGTGATTCTTTAGATTTTGTCTGAGATAGTTGAGTTGCTGGGTTGGTCTCTGATGTCAACTTTTGTAAAAGCCGTTGAGACCTCCGTAAATTGGACGTGAATGTATTTTCATTCTGGTCTAAGAAATTAATTAATTAAATTATTTTTCTAACGTAACTGTTAGTAATTAACAATATCTGAAACCTAAGTAATATAAATAATTTTAAATATATAACCCATATTTTCAAATCAATTATGACAGTTGTTAGTGTTCAATTTATGAAATCATAAAAAATACGTAAAACCGTGTTTACCTCTAAACACATCGTCCGCATTTGAAATATATGTACAATCACTATCATATTTTTCTGACATAATTTTTTGAATTAACAATAATATATTTTAAAATAAATATTGAATCATTTAATTTAAAAAACACTAAAATCGTTACTTGTGCTATGAATTTGACAGCAATGACCAGTGTTGACAGTGACTTATTAATAACATAGTCTGAATGAAAACATAGAAATTTATGCAGTTCAATAACATCGTGACATTTCAGGTATGATTACTTACGAATGTTCGTTCGTTCACAAGCGTTCGCTTTGGTGTGGATGAACCTTAATATATCGATTACGACGCACATTGCAAAATTAATAAATGCACAATTTTCTAATATTGATATATAGAAAGCACAACTATTTACCACCCCCTCCGATATATATAAAATTCTTTTAGTATCGGTCTAGATTATTACGAGCTATAACTTGATTTTGTCAGTAAAACAAGTACAGTAGTGCAGTACAAACGTATGTTATTGTGAATAGTTTTGAACAATGAATGAAATGTTGGTACAAAATAAAACAAAAGTGTTCTTTATCATAGGGGTATTTTAACAATGCCAAAAAAAAATAAATACAATCCATAAATTAAAATAAATACAAAATCAAACAATTGCACTAAATCACAAAATTTCAAATTCAAACAAAACTTAACGCTAAAGTTAAGTTAAACGTTAAACGCTAAAGTATTGGCCAGCAAACAGTAAAAATAGTAGTAACATTCACAATAGAGTATTAAAAAACAAATATGCAAGAACTGGTTAGTGTTGAAAATATGGTCTTCAATTTGTCTTGCAAATCAAGCGCAGAATCATAAGAAAAGAATTGTTTGTATAAAATCAAATAATTTTGCACATGCAACGATGCATGGACATCCTGTGCAATTTAATATAATAAAGTATTGCAATTAACCAAAATAGGTGTTCAAACTAGTCATTTTAATAGAATTAACAAAATGTCAAAATTTGTTATTTTGTTCACGTTCTGCAAATTTAACACAAATTGTTTTAAATATATTATGTTACGAAATGGAAATAAAAAATGAATAACAAAAAAGCAGAAATAAATGCTTTTACGAATAGTTTTTTAGATTTGCGATGCATTAATAAATAAGGTACATTGATTATATAAAATCAGGCAGTAATTGTTTGAAATTAATCCATAAATTAATAAAAAGTATATATATATATATACACTTTATTTATATATTTCTATCGCATAAACAGTATGTGGTATAGTTTTTGTGTTGAATACGGAGTATTGTGCTCTTTTAAAAAAATGGTTCAATTTAAAAAATATAATTTACAAAAAAAATGCATTTAACGTATATTTTGATTTAATATAAATTGCAATTTAACTTACACGATTATTTTTGCATAAATTGCTGATAGTTTGATATCAACAAATTTCATATTTAATAATATATTATTCTGAAAGCACCTTCTCACTTCTTTTTCAATACAAAAAAAAAATCAAGTACGGCTTTGGATCAGTTGGTTAAGGCGCGCTGATTCTGAGCTTCACATTTAGCAGGACCCGAGTTCGATTTGCAGTCTCAAAAATAATTATTTACGAATAATTAAATACAAGAATTATTTCCAAGACCACTGATGATGGGTATTTGGCAATACTCGAAACAGCTGTATGGTCAGCTAAAAATTCTATTAATTAAAATAATATAAAAAAATAAATTTTTGTTGTTGTAGTTCACTATTGTTCGAAAAACCTCTAATAAAAAAATGGTATCGTCAGACAAAAATTCAATTAATTAAAATAATATAAAAAAATAAATTTTTGTTGTTGTAGTTCACTATTGTTCGAAAAACCTCTTTCATAAAAAAAAGTAAAATTTACCGTTATACATATTATTTATTATGTATATATATGAAACATATTATGTTTATATTATATATATTTATACCCTCATACGATAGTGTTCCGGTATATATACTGTGTGATTAAAAATACATTAAGGCAATATCATAATTTATATATTTTTACTATATATTCACCGAGTCTTTTAAAAATTGAAATTTCTCTAATCTCGTTTTTTTACCATCGTATTGTATCTGCAAAGTAATAGAATACATTGTTTTACCGCAAGTACGATTTATTACAACCCTGAGTTTTTTTTAGTAACCTTGCAATTTTATTAAATTTGACATTAGTGATAAGCGATTCTCGATTTAGTAAACAAGAGTTTGTTAATATATTAAATTTCGTTAACACTATAATAAAAAAAACTTAACGATGGCTGAAGCTGATACCAATAAACCTCAACTTATACGTGATCCGAATTTCGCGAAAAATCGTATATTTTTGGGAAATCTACCATCATGTACCAAAGAAGAATTGGAGAGTATTTGCCACCCTTATGGAAAGGTACTGGGCAGTTTAGTGCAAAAAAATTTTGGTTTTGTTCAATTTGAGTCTGAAGAAATTGCCAATAAAGTTGCATTTTCACTTACGAAATCAACATTTAAAGGTAATGTCATTACGGTTCGTAACGCCGGCGCCAAGAAAGTACAACCAGCAAATGCACAAACGGCGGCATCAGCGGTTCGATATGAGGACAATAAAGTACAGCATCCGGATTATAACGATTGTGAAATCATTGTTGTTGATCGTCGTAACACGTAAGTTTAATTATTTATAATATATCAGTTGTATTCTACATGCGCATTTGTTATATATATTTATATATGTAGAAAATATGCCGAATATATTGAAGACCGTTTGAAACGTATGCAACTTCGGGTTGATGTTCTGTATCCTAACGAAGATGTTCCACTTGGTAAGGTTCTAGCAAATATATCTTCCCGTGGTTGCCTTTATGCAATTTTGGTGACAAATCAGCATGAAGAACATAATAGCATTACTGTTAATATACTGTATGGACAACCCGCTGAACACCGCAACATGCCGGTGGATGATGCATTGAAACTAATTGGGAAAGATTTTCAAAACAAAATGGCTGTCGAGTCATCGAAACGATTAAACTCAAGTCACCTTCCTCAGCCTGTACCTATTATACCTGCTACTAATGTAATCGCTCCACCACTGAAAGATAGACATCCAGAATCTATACAAATTTTGTTAAATTTGCTCGCAGATAATTTGCCACTTACTGGTCTGCAATATGAACGTATTATAAAATATCTAAATGAAAGACGAACCTTACAATTGAAAGCTGAACTAGGCGAGACCGTGGAATCAATTCCTGATCCAGAAATTGAACTCCAAAAAAAGATTTTAGATATATTAAATAAACCATCGGTTGCCGAGACGCACTATGAACTTCTCTATCCTACATTACAATCTATAAAAGACGATTTCCGTGTAATGGAATTACTAAAGGATGAAAGAGTACAAAAGGCACTTGATTCCTTAATGGATTCTAGTTTAGTTGGTACTATAGAAACGCACATGAAGTTTTAGGTTAATAAGATGATAATAAAGTAGAACTGTATAACTATAATTTGTAATTAATAAAAAGCAACTGACACATGCAATTACAGTATTAGCGCAAATACGTTAATTTTTATTTCAATATTCTAGGGCCATGATCTCTTTGCTATATGTCCAGCATATTTTTCACGATATTTAATTCCCGTAACTAAAGTTGAACTTTTTGGAAAAGCAGATTTGCCTCCAAATTTGGTATCAGTATCCGGATGAAAGCGGAGATACTCATATTGTATATGTAGATTCTCTGGAAGTTCCATATTCTTGAATGCTTCATACGGCACAGTTGTGTTCACTGACCTCTGATAGAAATCTACCACATCACCTTATATTTAGAAAAAATGATAAATAAAAATAACGATTTTATAACAATATTATTTAAGCTACCAATAGTTTGTACTTCATGTACTTGTGAATTGGGTACTCCGTGATTAAAACTTGCAAAGCACGCCTCTAAAAACTTGAATTTCTCCTCTAGGTTATTTAATTTATACTCATTCTTGTTAGGTATTTGAAGAGTTGAACATATCGAATGAACTTTTTCCACAGCATCTGCTGGTGCATCATACGGTTTATGTGATCTCAAAAAACTGTAATTGTATTTAATACTCTTATAAAATTTTAATAAATGTTAAAAAGCGATTTATGTTACCCTTTATTTGACAGAGATTTACCGACATCTTCTACAGCTTTGTTAATAATTTTAGGCCGTTTTAAATGCTTTTTTGAGTAGGACCTTGCGATCAATGATATTACCTGAAAGTAAATAGGATTAGAAGCAAATATTTTCAGATAATTATTGCTATGTACATTATTTTTATACATGATTTCAAGATTTTTACGTAAACAGACATGCAGACACAGGTCAAAACAGCAGGGCTGGTATTGTTGCCAACACCTTAAGAATTTTCTGTTAACCCATTACGTACCAGGCAATTTCAGACTTGAAATCTTACGGTCAAATTTCCATAGTAAAATAAAACAAGTTTAAGTAAATGAGAAAAGTGTAATAGTTTTTTGAAATATTTATTTATTTATTTTTTTATAAAAAAAAATATAAAATATTCTTTGAATATTAAAAAATATTCAAAGCTAATTGCGTGGTGGTACGAAATGGGTTAATGAATTTACGTATACAATAAAAACTCAATGTTATTATATCAACGGTTTTATTTTCTTTTTTCATTTCCTGTAACATATGGAATATTAATATAATAAGAATATTTAGACATGCCTGATAACTTAGTATGTGATAGAATGATAAACATCTAGTATCATGTTTCCACTACACCTAAATCAGTTTATCTTAATGAAATGAAGATTTGGTCGTTTCCATTAGCATAAGTTGATTTATGCATGTCAAGGGGCTTTTATGTATTAGAATGTTTTGTGAAATTTGCAGGATTGTTCACATCTCAATTGTTA